CCTATGAAGGACCATTGACCGAAACGTCGTATATTATATAGTTTTCCCTTTAAGCAGTGTTATTGAGGAATGCGTTGACTGTTTTATTATTTGTGCCTTTGCACCACTGCCGCCAACGCAGTATGAAACAAATATAGCATACAATATTGGTAAAGTACAGATGTTACTGTATTGGAGTACAGGAAAACCACAATATATATGTCAGATGAAAACATTTGGAAGAGTGACACGCAAGCAGGAGACAAGAATCATTCATCCACCACTTACTGCCACGTCGCCAGCCATTAGCCCGGGTGTGCCTGCTTGCACAGTTCTGTAATCATCAGGGGTATGACGATCCTTCGAGATGCAACTGTCACGGGCCATGGTCGCTATTCGATTCCAGGATCGATTATTTTAGAATTTTGTGAATATAGCGGCCACTATGGGTGCCGCGTGAGCCGCTCACGGTATCATACACAATACAAACAATTGACAAAAAACACGTTCTTACACTTTATTCGACGCTTGCATCGCGAGGCGGAAAAAAATCGATATTATTTGACGATAAAAAACCCGATGCATCGTGACACACATAGTATCCAAAAGTCCACATACGTGCTTTGAAACATCCCTCACCCAGTGCATCTATATGGCACCACAAACACTGCAAGTCAGTTCGCGTGGGCGAAGAGGCCGTCTTGGCTCGGCTGATCAGGAAAACTCATCACGGAGGCCGGCAGCTGCGTGCAGGAGGGATGTCAGCGGGACCTGTAGGGGGTCCGGTCCTGTCCCTGCCACGAGCCCCCTCGCCACGAACCCCGGCTGCTGCCTCTGCACGTCGTGCTTGGCATAGGGGTAAGGTGGGCTGTACACGGAGTCAGCCAGCCCGTCTGCTGCAGAGCACACCTGAGCGCACCGGGCGCCGACAACGGGAATGTGATGATGCTGTTGCTGCTGCGGGATGAGGGCGCTGTCCGCGGTGCTGACCCTCGCGTACGAAACGCACTGCGCGCCCACGAGCTCTGACGACGGTTGAGACGACTCAAACGAGCCCCCAGCCACCTTGTGGCACGGCCCGATACCCAGGCGTAGGCAGCTCGCTACGAGGTTGGCCGTAGGCTGCGAGAGACCCCGGCACAGGGTCCTGGCAAAGCCGCCGTGATCGGTGTTGCGTCCCGTACGCAGTATCTCGGAGAGCGCGCCGATGTAGTTGCGCGCCAGCCTGAGCGTCTCGATCTTGGAGAGCTTTTGCGTGCGCGAGTGGCACGGCACCACACGGCGCAGGCCGTCGAGCGCCGCGTTCAGCCCGTGCATGCGGTTCCTCTCCCTGGCGTTGGCTTTCAGCCTCCGCAGCCTGAAGCGCTCCGGCCGTGCCTTGCGCGCTTTGGGACCTCGCCGGCGGCAGGTCGGGATGGCCTTCGCCTCGCCTCCTGGCTGCATCAGCAGGGGTTGCTGTTGCGCGTCATCGTCGTTGTCGTCCACTTCGTTGCTGTCTTCGTTGCCGTAGGTGGCTGCCGGAGGTTTGGTACCAGCACCGGTGCGGTCTTTGGCACCGCGGCGTGGAGGAGAGAAGCTGGTGGAGAGAGTGGAAGGGTCGCCCCAGCAGCCATCGGAACAGGTGGCGCCGTCCGTGGCACGCGACCCCCAGGAAACGGAGACCCGGTCTTCCTCCTCCACCTCATCGTCCATCGCGATTGTCTCTCTACAGACGCCGATCAGTATCTGCCGGTCCCTGAGACGACAAGAAAACTGAGGCGCACCTGGGTTGAAAGCCAGTGCCTTCTCCCTCTCTCTCGCTCCCCAGAGACGCGCCGTCACTCCTGGCTTTAAAGCGCTCAAGCAGAGCCGCGCCGCTCCGATTAGGAGATATATCACGGTGGTATCTAGAAATAAGTTATCCTGCTTCTGAAGTTAAACAGCGAGCGTTTAGCAAACAACCCAACTCATCCATGCGACCAAAACATGGCGTGTCTCTCTAATTTTCTATAACCGAGGGTGTGCACAAATAAATAATCTGCGGGTTTGGTTACAGAGTTGTAGATTACCCTGCATTGGCAGTGATCCGCACACACTGTGGTACTGACCGAGCTCTGTGTCTTTTACTCAAGGACAATTCTCTCTACGTCGCTCGCTCGAACGAGGCAACGCCCCTGGAGTATTGTTGCCACCCATGTGACGTACAGCCCCGCCATAACGCTTTTGCAACTCAACATTGTGGAATTGGGCGATCGAAGTTTGCCCCCTGCACGAAAGCGGCCGCACGGTTCGATCGCTGGTGCAGGTGATGACAAAACCAATGAGGACAGTAGGGAACTTTACGACGCTTAAAATTCCTATTGGTGCCCTTTTTATGGGTGCCCAAACGCCATTCTAAAAGGTAGTCACGGTATTTACAGCTGTTGTTAATCCCACGGCTCCCAATAACCCCAAGGATAATTATAAGCGAATCATCAATGCGTGCGCTGTGTTAATATGCGCACTCTGCTCTGTGTGCACAGCTGCAGTCAGATTAACGTGACTGTCCCAATTCCATGTAAATTCATTAAGCGTCTGTGCCTGGCATTTATACTTAATAATAAGTACATGCACGCGAGCCATAACGTCTATACATACACACTACTGCACCAAGTCAGTGTCTTCAGAAAGCGGAAAAAGATCGAAACTATTTATGATTTAATTACGAGCATTCAATTCGGTTTAATGCGTCATTTTTGTAATGGGCCAATACCTAAACCACAACGATCGTTAATTATGACTCTGCCCGTCCACAGGAGGCTGAGTGAGTTAACGTCGAATTTATGCGATCTATGTCACGATCAACCACCGACCAAGCGTAATTACGCCGCGGAATAATTTCCGTCATCCGCCCTCTCACCCTACATTCGCCACATTCTTGTATCCACACCCGCACTCAAATTTCAACCTACAATGCGTGCTCGGGGTACGGCGTTTTAGATGTAGATAGCGGTGCAATATGCACTACATCAATAACACCAAACAATACGAATAAAGTGCGTGCTGTTGTGTGTGTGTAAGACGATGCATGCCATGATTCATTGACGAGGAGACAAAGCGGCCCAGGTGCCGTGCCGACCTTCATAGGTGCTTGCTAACACCCCTTGTCCCACCGATCTGTTAAGGCTGAATGGGGGATCTTTGTGCATGAGTGTGTGTGGGGAGGGTGATGTGTAAAATGTGCGTACCTGTTCGACGCTCCGTGCCGCGTGTTCCGTCCGGCGTGAATGAGTCGACGTTGGGATGTTAGCGATGCGTCCCCGCAAGATTGCTGCAACTGAGAATTATGTTTCAATGAATGAGTTGGGGTGAGAGTGCGTGAGCGAGAGAGAGAGAGCGAGTGAGTTAATAGGAAAGGGGAGAGCGCTTTCCGTCTCAGCCCAGACCCAGCCACACCGCGTGTGCAAATGACTCGCCCGATTGCGCAGCCGCTCCACGACCCCAACTCAGCATCTTCGTTCATATCACCATTAGAATGGAAAATACACATGAACTCATTCAGAAACGCTTCAACTGAGTCGCAATACTCTCTTTTAAGAAGACAATAACGCTCCGTCACGTATACCGTACATAGAAACCCCCGAACAGGGTAGGTAGACTCACGTTTTGGCAGTTAATGACAGATGGTTAATACTTTCACCATTCGTAATTACTTAACGGGGAATCGCAGCATGACTCCTGCAAAATGACTTGAGATTCAACGAGGCTTTTCTGGATAAACAGGTGGAATGATAATATTAGTATTTGTGTTAGGCCACGTGGTAGTGTTATGCCAACAGTACTGTCATTAACTATGCACGATTAACCACAATACCTTGCTGATCTCGTCAAGGAGCATAAACCATCATCACGCAAACTCCGGTCACCCTCGCAGCAGCGCCTTTTGGCTGACCATCGAACAAAGACGGTCACTGCATCGCTCTCTTTCAGAGGCGCTTCTGCGGCAGGCTGGAACGCTCTTCCTTCCGATATTAGGAAGCCACTGGAGCTATACACTTTTAAATAATCTAGATTGAAAACTATTTTTTTTGGAAATGCTTTTTGTGTTTAGTTTGTTGTCCTTCCCCCGCACTCCGATTAGCACGGTTAGCTACGTACGATGTGAAAGAGTTAAACGTACATACACGATGGTCAGGTTTGCGCAGACATTTATTAATATCTTTAGAAACGTGAGAAATCTTAAATTTTGATTTAAAGCTTTTGTGACTGCAGTAATTCATATTCCTAGTTTTTTCGGTAAAGTCACGATGGTAGTTATACAAAAATAAAAAGAGATCCCACCAACAGCCTCGTCACACAAACCAACAAAATAATTTCTGATTCAACCGCATTAATTGATCAATCTAAACAGTTTTCGTTGAAACCTTCTGCTGCCAGGCCACCAAGATTATACGGCTTACCAAAAAAGAGACCTGATGGTTCAATGAGCCACTCTGTCTACAGGAAAGCTACCCATACGGATGCTTATCTGAAACCGGATTCCCACCACCATCCATCACAGAAGAATTCTCTCATCAAGACTCTGTATCATAGAGCCCAATGCATATCCGACCAGGAACACATAAGCAGTGAACTCAAGCACGTACAACAAGCTCTTAGGGCTAATGGTTACTCCGACTATACAATCCGCAAAGCTATCACTCAAACCATGAAGAAGAACCCTCTTGAGGAGCCTTTCAAAACCATCACTTTACCCTACATTGCTGGGATCACAAAAAAGATCTCCAAAATCTTGAATAAACACAAGATCCAGGTCCGTTTCAACACATTACATAAAATCCGTGATCTGGTTCCGTCTGTAAAAGATGTGATTCCGGACATACAATACCCTGGTGTCTACAAACTAAGTTGCCTCTGTGGTAGTAGTTACATTGGAGAAACCAAACGCCATATCTCGGACCGCATTCGTGAACATAAAGCAGACCTTAAACACGGTAGGACCAACACCTCGGCCGTAGCAGATCATTGTTCTAATTCAGTAGGCTCACATGCCATTGACTTTTCCAAGACGGAGGTTCTTTGTAAGCCATCTGGCTTCCATGAGAGATTCGTTCATGAGGCTATCCACATATACAAGCACAGAGACAATTTCAACCGAGAAGATGGATTCTATCTTAGCAATCATTGGAAAGATTTGATAAATCATTTCAGTTCTTGATTGATTGTTCACGCTTACAGTGGCTTTCAGACAACATACATAAAAACAAATTTCGTCTCCCCCCTCCTCTTTTCAAAAAATAGATGGACTAGTCCTGGGCAAACTGCCAATCACTGCGCGTGACGCAAACGTTATTTTTTTTTATATATAAATAAATAAATATGCCGTTTTCAAAATAAATTTATGCAAACCGACACACCTGATGATGACCGTTTGAGTTATGGTCGAAACGTCGTGAGAATTTTTTATTGTTTTATATATATTTTGTTATTCTGTTGTTTCTCTTCAACGTGACTTTACCGAAAAAACTAGGAATAAAAATGTGAGAAATCTTGTTGAATGGTGGAGGGTTAATGGCAAGAATTGTGCCATAAAACGTCTACGTGGCCTCATCCAAAAGCAGATATGGATCATTATTGGCTACGAAAACCGAAGTTTTAAGTGTAATAATAGTTTATCTGCATGCTTTAATTTCTCCAATACGATTCGTGTAGCTATTAAATATTCTTGATGAGATCACATTGCTGCGTCTGGCTTCTATTTTTAATGTTGTTACTTTGTCACCCTGATAAAACAACACAATACCAATTCCAACGCATTCGTCAGTAACACTGCTTTAAAAGGAAAAAGTATATATTGGGCGACGTTTCGGACAATGGCCCTTCTTCATGGCACATAAACCAAACGTCGCCTATTATATCATTTAACTTTGAAGGCAGTGTTATTGACGAATGTGTTGAGTTGTTTTGTTCTTTGTGCTTGTACACCGCTGCCTACGTAGCAGTATTACAAAATAATGAGTTTAAAATCCCTCATGTTCGATCGATCTTTGCATTTATTACAGCTGCTGGTGGTGATTCGTGAATGAATTTGCGATGGGCGTGGTTTAAGGGGGCGGGGCAGCTGTGGGGGGGATCTGTCCGCGCATGCGCGCTGCAGCCCGGCGACCCGCGCTCTTCCTCGTCTTGTTCGCTACGCCTCTACTGCTGTCGCTGCTGCTATCGCCGCTGCTATCGCCGCCGCCGCCACCGCAACCATGTCGCGGGGAATCATGCCCAGCCAGCAGAAGCTGGCCGAGAAGCTCACCATCCTCAACGACAGGGGCGTGGGCATGCTGACGCGCATTTACAACATCAAGAAGGTGAGCGAGGTGGACAGGCGACCCGGGCCCCGGCAGTCACGGGCCCTGCCGTCTCACCTGAGCGCCCCCCGCGGGCCTTGGGGCGAGGTCGCCCCGCAGACACGGCCAGGAGTGGACGCGGCTTAGGGCCTATAGGTGGGGATGGGGGGGGGTGACAGACGGAACGAGGAAACTACAGTAACAATGCTATGACAATTCTTATCAATAATGTACAGTCCTTGTTTATCCACTGCTGGATGAAGGCTTCTCCACACTGTGTCACTCAGTGGGGATGTTTGACCATACGTCATCAGGCTGGTCCGTGTGAATTAGTGAAGTGGGAACCGCAGGACCGGTCCAGGTGATCGCCACCGATGTTAGCCTCGGCTGGGAAAATGTCTCAGGCGGCCGGATTCACCGCTTCCACTCTAATTATAGTGTGAATGGCTAAATGAAGGTAATTCCATATTAGATGCAAAAGCGGTAAAAGAGCAACTCCCATCGAACTAAGAAGGTTGGCTGAGGTTTTTGGCAGTCCTTGCTGGAGGAGAGGACACGTGAAGGGGAAGAGTGATGATGTTTGAGGGATGGGCAGCTTGGGGTGAATCCATGGAGATCTTGACGAATAGTTGGTGGATTCTCTTGGGAGCTAGTAGGAATAATGGATCAAATTCGTAACAATTGCCACAATTATTTATCCCAAGCAATAACAACATAAGTAAAATTAAATTGCAATGCAACGTAGATTTATTTATAAAGCACCTAATTATTTTCCATACGCCTTGCACGAAGACAGGGTGGAGATTGTAGTGTTTTCCAACATTCGTGAATCGTTGGTGTGTAATTAGAAATCGTTACGGTATCCTGTGCGTAGCTTACGGAATACTATACAGCACAGTACACTGTTCAAAGAATTGGTTAAGGCCATTAGAAAATAACGCCGTGATCATGATGGATGGTAATGTTATTGTCTCACTTGTGGCTGCGTATGCGTTACTATACCTTTGAAATGTCACCGTCTGCACATTCGTTTGTGGTATGTGTCGGTCCCTTTGGGGAAAGAAAGAGTGCGTTGTTTCTCTATGTAATGTGACGCTACTTTAAAAGCCATGTTTTTTATTGGGCCATGTGTAAGAAAAAGGAAATAGATCAAAACAATTTTAAAGTTTCTGAACCAACGTGTTTAATCTGACGTGTTTCAGAAAACAGTACTCACTATATAACGTCAGAACTGCTATATGTAAGTTAAAATACACAAAACTTGTGTTCATTATTAATTATTGAATTATTGACATATGTGAAGCATATCCCTAAACAAAACCAACTATCGCGTAGGATTAGGTTGAGACCACCACACGAAGTGTTGCAAATCCGGTTCACCTCGTTTGATTCTTGTTCAGAGCTGTTTAATAGCATTAAAGGAAGACAGCCCAAAACACAAATCTTTTATCTTCTAGGTAACTATAGAACACTGTAGAATATGATGATGTTAACCATATCTTCACATTTTATTTGATCAATAATTAGGCTTTCAAACTCTTGAGTGGCCAGCCTGCGACACATGGCCTAAGTGGGACAAGAAAACTAATTATTCTTCGGGTAGTATTCTTTATAAGTAAATACTTTGCTCTTCATCTCTTATGGGTGGCCTATGCCGATAGTTGACAAAGTCTTGATAACCTGTGGTTTTATTTGGTTTAAATTATTGTGCATGATGTTCGGAGTTCGTATATCAACTTTTCTCGATTACATTGCTTATTTGAGATGAGTAAGCTTGGTGACCTGCACACGTAAGCCGATTTTTGGTATTTGTATTTAAAAACGTTATTGTTCTCTACCAAGGTTGCCTACGTCTCATTGGTTTATCAATGTCCTGCACTTGGCCATCTTGATATATTGTATATTCATTCCAGTTAATTTGCAGACTGCTAGTAGCAGATGGATTTGTGTATATAAAAATCAATGGGGTGATTTTGAGGCTGCAGAGGAGCAGTGCCTTTGTACCAGTCACTCTCCTCTCTGTTGGTGTTTTTTTTATTCAGATATATTTAGGCCATTTACCTGTGACATGGTTAGCTTTTGTAACACATTAAGGAAATGTGTTTTGATACAAGTTTTACATTGAGTTTGGAATTACCAACATTGTTTGCCTTGTATTATGTTGGTGTTTACGGTAAGTTTTTCAAGGTTTCTTGCAGGTAAACGCATTTGATTCATTCAGAAACGTGTTACTCCATTTCCTCTTCCCAAATCATTTTTTACATATGCAGTGTTTGTGATGAGCCATATTGTGTATTGTGAAGTTTGGTCACGTTTTTTTATTTTTTTGAAAATCATTTAAGCATTTTAAATGTAAGCTCTACATTTGGTGTTTTGTCTTAATGTGTGCATGTCACTTATGGAGCAAAATCACTATCAAAAGAAAAACTGATCTCTGATTTGTTTGTCGTTTACTGAATTACCCCCATATATAGACTTTAAGAAAACTGCTGACAGTTGTATAACATGGCTGGTTAATTCTCGGGAGCGCACAGTAATGTAGTTGATGAGAGTAATCACCATTATAAATTAATGGAAAATTAGTTCTGCCACACGTGCTGCAGGTAAGATTTTTAGATTTTGTTTGTGCAACTTGTACGATAGATTATTGTAGTGAAAGGTTAACCAATTCAGTGTTTAGTAAGAAGCAAGATGAATAATTTGGCCCCTTAATCATCTGGCCTTCCCATAATGGAAGCGATGCTGATTTTCAGTCACCAAACACTGTCCCACTCCAGTCCACCATTCCACATCCCTTTACGTTCTGCATTCAAATGCAGAATAGACTTTTAACAATCAAAGGACCCTTTACCCAAAGTGGGTAAAACTTGCATAAACTATACTTGTAGCAGTTAACAATAACCATGTTTTTGATAGTGACAGCGCTTCATAAACTTTTTTTTTATTCGTTGTTTGGTGCTGAGGTCGCTGTGTTATATATCTGTTGTGTTTTTTTTTCTGTTGCAATGCCTCTCTCAGCAAGGACAAGTCTGGAAGGTTTGAAAAATGTTTTATGCTCCTTTACCAAATCCACAGACTACCATGCCCATACAGCAGTCTATGCTGTATGAATGCATACACTAGCCTGATTGGATGCTGATAACGTAACTCCGTTGTGGGATATCATTTGGCATGGCCTGTTGTCAGTGGCCCTGATTTAGGGTCCCCTTCCCACAAATTGCTTGCTATACTAACACTCATCATGTTTGCATTGGTCTTGCTGGTCACTCTTTTTTTTCCACACTTAATGTTTCCATCGCCAGTTTTATTATTGTTTGAACTGTCTTAATATGATATTCATTATTCGCTGAGATTGAGACAAATATCTTAGAGCATTTTAGAGAGCAGACCTTCAGAAAATGTACTTAAATAACATCAATGTACAGTCATAACATTGTCTACATTGTATTACGTGAATTATTATTTTTGGCTAGCTCTGTCCTGGCATTGTCCAGTGGGATCAGTGGGAGCTTAGTGCGGTACATTTATTAGGCAAAGACAAATGTCTGCCTTGCAGTCAAAATATGGGGCTGGGGGTGAATGTCAGTTTCGTAAGTGCATTGTTACTTCTGCCAGAATGACTGCATCATGAGTAACCAGATGTGATCAACTGAAGCTGGTGCACACCGACCTCTGTGTGCAGAAGCAGACTGCACACAATGGAGCCGTCTGTAATGCAGGGCAAGCATTTATGTGGGCTAACTGCCAATACAATTTATGTTTTTTGATCCTATGCTACAACGGTTGGTTCAGGGAATGTATTTGTTGTCTGTGATAGTGTTTTTGTTCATGTCCATCAAATAAATTAATATCCTAAGTATTATATACTGTACTTCCAATAAGGGATACACAATACAGTAGCAAATATAATTTTCAGAATTAAAGTAGGAACTTATAATTGCAGCAACCGTAATTACAAGAGTTGCAGTCTATTGTTTTGGCGGTAACCTTCCACCCACCACATTTTGCGACTTCCTGCAGGTGTGAGGTTAACGGTAGCCTTCCGCTTTGTCTGTGTCCCAGTGTATGCGCTGGTTGTTTTTCTGCTTAACATAATAAAATATTACTGTAAAATATTACTGTGAAATATTACTGTGAAATGTGTTTGTTGGAAGGTGTGTGTGTATTTTTGCTGTTCCAACTCAACAGGGTGGTGGAACTGACACTAAACGACTCTTTAATAATATTTTTGTTCGGTCAGCTCTTTTTACGTGAAAAATTCCTGTTCACTAATTATTTTGATACAAATAATGATTTATTTTTTATAGAGCTGTCTTCACATGGGACATCTCAATCTTCATGGCAGGATTCCTTATGTCCACGACTGTGTGTGAATCACACATCAAGAACCAGCTAAAATACTGCTAAAATATATATTGGTACTGAGGGATTGATCACTGATCTCATATGAGGTGCAGTAGATTTTCAAGTTGGTGTGTACAGTGTGAAAGTTGGCTGTTTGAAGAAGGCTTACATGCGTGTAGTGACATGCAGTGCCTATTTTAAATAATATAAATGTGCATACATTGGTATTTTGTTCAGCAGCATTCAGTTCATTGACATGGCATTGGACATGATGCATGGCATGACCTTTAAATACGATCTGTATATTATTATTTGGAGTCTTTCAGTAGGTGTGATAAATTCACAAGAATACTATTGCGCCTTCATTAGAGAAACCACTCTTTGTAATGCTGTATAATCTACCCTAACCTTGACAATAAATTGATCATAATCAACAAAATAACATATTTTCCACTGAGCCTTTCTTTTTGTAGATGTGACATTGCAGTATATGATTTTCAAATAATAACTTTTTATCAAAGGTATGTACAGTAGAAAGACCAGCCCTTTTAAATGGTTAGTTTAAATAGTTATTCATTTGCAGTGGGTGAGGTGCGCAGCATTAATCATCACAATTGGTGGGATGTGCTGCTTCTGCAAAGACTCGTTGCAATCGCATGATTGAAAGTGCTATAACTGAACGGCTTAAGTTTCCCCACCATGCATTTTGTCTGCATGTCAAATGTGAGCAGTGCCTGGTGTAGATACACAATGATATAATTCTGCTAATAACAACCTATTGAACTAATTCAACACAACATTAACTTAACAGGACAAATGGTACCTATGGTTAATAAAACTGGTGAAATGTTAAATCTTGACTTAAAGTTTTTGTCAGGATGACGACCACTTGTATTGCGATCGAAACGTCGTAGTTTTTTGTTATTTTCTTTGAACCTATCTACGTGACTTTATCGAAACACCCAAAGAATATGGTGAAATGTTAATAATGGAGAGAAAAACACAGCTTACAACTGTTTTATTTTACTGGGCTGTGTTTGGGGGTTGAAGGACTGAGCACCTGCGGCAGATACAAACTGCTCTAAACCTGATGGGGTTTCATTTGTCCTGTTAACCTCACCACTGATTGCCGTGCTCGTTTGTCATTGCCTGCCTGATTAATGACAACGGCAACTTTTTCCAGCACCCTTTGATACTCTGCACAATGTGCTTATTTTTCCACCAAACTGAAGACATTTCAATACTTGTATATATTTTTTCTAACCATGACCACTTCTCATTTTCTATTTTACAGGCATGCGGAGATGCGAAAGCCAAGCCACAATGTTTAGCAGACAAGAACCTGGAGTCTGCAGTCAAATTCATCGTGCGCAAATTCCCGCACGTGGACACGCGCAACAACAGTGTGAGTGTTGCACGCGGTCAGGTTTGGTTTTGACACGCGTCGTGGTGACGGCCCATCATGTGCCATTACAGCGTTTTGCTGACGCTGCCGACTGGGGGTACAAATTATGAATCCGTTAATGTTAATTCTTAAGCGTTTGATGCATGCGTTGATACTTACGTGGGTAAACATCTATGTTTTTCAAGTCAGTCATAGGACTTGTATTTAATCGATTTGTATCACCCCTGGCGCTGCCGCTCGGCACCTGCGGTCACCGCAATGTTATATAAATGGATTATCTAATCAAATTGAATTACAACCCTTGATCATGGCAGCTTATGAACTTTCTGGAGGAATTAGTCAATCTGCCTCGACTGATTATTTATTATATTTTGATACAGGAATTTTGTATTACAGTACATTATTAGATTTTTAAAAAGGAGATGGGAGGACACATTTTCAGTGTTTCAAGGCCAATAACACGTCATATTTGCGTTGTCCTAGCTAGTATTGCGTCATATTTTGTTTCTTGTACTTTGGTTAACATTCTACGAAACACTTTGGGTAATATTTGATTTAAGGGTTTTTTAAGCTGCGGTTGTAGACTACTGCTCTGTTTTTTTTCCATTCTTCTGCTCGTCATCAAACTTTGTACATTGTTTTTCCTTTGCTTATTATCATCAATTACTTTTTTTCCAAAATTTTATCTTGCATGGCAACATCATTCAATTATTGGATATGATTTATGGTAAGTGCAATGTGTGTTTGACGTGCTTTGATGCTTCTTAACATGTGTTTATAAGAAAACATGATAACAGCACCTCATTGTCCGCTGTGTGGCTTCTGCATCCGTAATTGCACATGCCTGCATAATATAAATTTGCACTGATCCTAACAACATACCATTGTTTGTCTTTCCAGCTGAACTTCTCAGGCTATAATGCAAATTAATATTTTCAGCAGATTTAAATATGTATAAAAAGAAGTGCTTTCAGTGGCTCTTGGTTTGTTGTGCTAACCGATTAAATCTCAAACTGGCAGTGTTCCAGATGGTGCTGTTTCATTTGCTTTCAACATTAATCTCATACCAAATAACTTGGATTATTTGATATTTTTTCATTATTTTACTTTAATTTGTTTTCTCACCATCAGGATAAAAACAAAATCTGTGAATAGCAAATGCATACTAAATAGGTTGCATTTTTAGAAGGCGACCATGTTCATACACACATTGCATGTAGTAATATACTGTCCCGTTTTGCTTATTCAACACAGCAACAGCTTACCCATCTCAACACTCAGAAGGCCGACATTATGAAGAACCTGAGTCTCTATTACTGTACATTTGTTGATATCATGGATTTCAAGGTCTGTTTCATTTATGGTTACACCTTTGTGCACCTTCCACTAGTGTAATACCTTAAATTGTTTGACCTGGGAATTACATGCCCTTACATTGTCAAAGGTGAAATGTTTCCACTGAATTTCACTTTTCTACTTCTGTGGAACATGTGTTATATGTAATAATATTTACAAATCGTTTTATGCATCCTGATTTACAGTTTTGTCTAATTTTCCTGTAAATGTTTCGCTTGTGAATTTTTGAATGGACAACATGAAACTACTAATAGGTCTTATTGTTTAAGATTAAACCGGGCCTCTGCTCCCAAATGTGCCAGAAATTACGGTAGCTGGACTAGCTGCAGCGCTTTTGTATGTCGTGGTTAAGAATAACAAGATCACATTCTCACCCTTCAGGACCATGTGACGGAGCTGCTGAACACCATAGATGCTTGTCAGATCTACTTTGACATTGTAAGTGGTAAACCTTTACAATTACTTATGTATTCTACCTTAAGCAAAAATGCAATCTTATTTCATAGCCATATAACAACCGGTGGGAAATAAAAGTAAAATGAAAGTGTTTAGAGCATTTCAACATATACTGTCGAATTTCTCCAGGATAAATAAAGATTCTGATTCTGTCTTGCTGCCTTCTTGCTGCCTGCAGACGGTGAATTTTGACATCACCAAGAGCTATCTGGACCTGATCGTGATGTACGCTACCATCATGCTCATGCTGTCACGCATTGAGGAGCGCAAGGCCATCATTGGCCTGTACAACTATGCGCACGAGATGACCAATGGCTCCAGGTATCAGTGCGGGACCGTTTCACCCCAACCACCCTTTTTGACAGTGTACTGCCAGAGGTTAAATAACAGACATGCGGTGGTGCACACCCAAAGTCAAGTGCCTTGGAAGTAACGGTCGGTGGCTAGCGTAGATTTCGAAAATTCTCAACCTCGCCAGGAAAGGTGACAATGCAGCGAGTTGGTTCGTGAACTTATCTGTGTTGTCGTTTAATTGCTGTCCCGTGAATTAATTGTCTTTTTCACCCGGTACTTTGGTTTCCTGCCACATGCAAAACACTTGTTGAAACGAACTGACCTACAAATTTCAAAGTGGGACTTTGAGTAAAAATTCAGCAAGCTTTTCCCAGATAAGTCCATTCAACAATTATTGTTTACCAAGGAAAGCTTCACGTAATCTCACAACTTTTTCAGTCGAGTCTTGCAATGTAAATATTTGGCTGGTGCCTCATTGAATATCTGCTTTGCAGTGACTATCTCAAAATATATATTATCAAGTATATACAATGCCATTATGCATTTGGGAGATTTACAGACAATTAAATAATAAATAAAATCATGGGTTTGTTTCATTTCCAAAAATGACATTAAAATGTAGGTCTTTCGGCCAAAAGAGTTTGTGGGCCATTTTCTTTTCGTAACATTTGGGCCAGTCTTGATTTAATCCCAACAGCAGGGTGTGGTCTGTACATACAGTACTTTGAAAGTATTGTACTCCATTATATTCTATACTATTTAGTATTTTACAAGTCACATTAATCATCTTTCAATTGTAAAGGTGTGTTTGTCCTTGTTATCTCTTTTCTGTGCCGTTATCTGTGACTTCGGTGATGCATTGTATTAATTAATGTGTGCTGAATTCGTGCATGCCACAGTCACAATTTCCGGTTTTCTTCATTTTAATGAATTTGTTTGCATCACATCTATTAAATATTTCCATATTGAGAAACAATAAGATTACATCTTCTTGGTTCTTTCGGTAAAGTCAAGTAGAATGAGAATAAAACAATAAAACAAAATAAGACAATAAAATTCTCACGACGTTTCGGCCACAACACAAGTAGCCTTCTTCAGGTGAAGGAACAGAACTGTCGGGACGACAGCGCTTCAATGAACGCTGCTAAGATTCGCAGCGTCTTTTAGGCTAGGTGGGAGAGGTAAAGCGCCTTGACAAAGGAGTTTACATATCAAACAGGAGAATTTACCATTGAAATAGCTGTGTTAAAGTGTTGGATCAGCAGGGTGCTAAAGTCAGAAATTAGCATGTAACTGGGAGATTAGCATGATGTTAATGTGAGGGATTAGCATGTGACTGGTCACGGAAATAGCTATGTTAAAGTCAAAGTTTACATATCAACAGAGGCATTTCGTATATGGACGCTAAAGGACTGCAACTACCCAACTATCATACAATAAACCGATGTGAAAAAACGAAGTATAAACCACATCAATATAGTAAATGTACTCAATATATTCTTCAATAAGTTGAGCTATTAACATAAAGTAACTGGGTATACACTACACTATATATTGAATACCATATAGTAAACTAAAAAAACTAAAATATAAACTACATCAATGTTATCAATAAACTCTATATACTCTCCAATCAGCTGATCTACTAACAATAAGACGTTATACATTACAATGCCATATGGCGAAAAAATGGGTGGCGTTTTTTTATTTTCAACGTTAGCACCACAGACAGCGATGAGCTTTGTTTGGACGGACGAGTCCATCTATGCTCGGAACGGAGGAGGGGGGAGGAACAGCCACGATGCGCTGTTATACTACATGTTATAAACCATACCATTAACCGTGGTGTGAGAGGTATTAAGAGGCAATGCCAGCGAAAGGGCTGCGATCATAAGGTCACCGTAAAATACAATTAAGAACTGAAATGGTTTAAAAGATCTTTCCAATGGTTACTAAGCCAGAATCCATCTTCTCGGTTGAAATTGTCTCTGTGCTTGTATATGTGGATGGCCTCGTGAATGAATCTCATTGTAGCCGGTTGGCTTGCAAAGAACCTCCGTCTTGGAGAAGTCAATGTCATGTGAGCCCACTGAATTATAACAGTGATCTGCCACGTCAGAGGAGTTCGTCCTACCGTGTTTCAAGTCTGCTTTATGTTCGCGGTCCGAGATATGTCATTTGGTTTCTCCAATGTAGCTGCTACCACAGAGGCACTTTAGTTTGTGAACGCCTGGGTACTGTATGTCTGGAACAGCATCTTTTACAGATGGAACCAGATCACGGATTTTATGTACTGTGTTGAATCGGACCTGAATCTTGTGTTTGTTCAGGATTTTGGAGATCTTTTTTGTGACCCCCGCAATGTAGGGTAAGGTCATGGTTTTGAATGGTTCCTCAAGGGGATCCTTCTTCATGACTGGAGTGATGGCTTTGCGGATTGTGTAGTTGGAGTAACCATTAGCCTTGAGAGCTTGGTGTACGTGTTTGAGTTCACTGGCAATGTGATCCTGGTCGGAAATGCATTGGGCTCTATGGTATAGAGTCTTGATGAGGGAGTTCTTCTGGGATGGATGGTGGTGGGAATCCGGTTTTAAGAGAGATGACATTGTCATCCTCTCAGCCGACAAGGGCAATGCCACTGTCATGGACAAAATAGAATATAACAACATTCAAGAACTACTCAATGATGGCAGCTATACAAAAAATAGAAGAGATCCCACTAACAGCCTGGTCACCAAAACGAACAAACTCATCTCTGATTCAACAGCATTAATTGATCAGACCAAACAGTGGACTCGTCCGTCTGAACAAAGCTCGTCGCTGTCCGTGGTGCTAACGTTGAAAAAAAAACGCCACCTATTTTTTCGTCATATGGCATTGTAATGTATAACGACTTATTGTTAGTAGCTCAGCTGATTGGAGAGTATAGAGTTTATTGATAACATTGATGTAGTTTATATTTTAGTTTTTTTTAGTTTACTATATGGTATTCAATATATAGTGTAGTGTATACCCAGTTACTTTATGTTAATAGCTCAACTTATTGAAGAATATTTTTAGTACATTTCTATTGTTGTAGTTTATACTTCGTTTTTTCACATCGGTTTATTGTATGATAGTTGGATAGTTGCAGTCCTTTAGCGTCCATATACGAAATGCCTCTGTTGATATGTAAACTTTGACTTTAACATAGCTATTTCCGCGACCAGTCACATGCTAATCCCTCACATTAACATCATGCTAATCTCCCAGTTACATGCTAATTTCTGACTTTAGCACCCTGCTGAGCCAACACTTTAACACAGCTATTTCAATGGTAAATTCTCCTGTTTGATATGTAAACTCCTTTGTCAAGGCGCTTTACTTCTCCCACCTAGCTTAAAAGACGCTGCGAATCTTAGCAGCGTTCATTGAAGCGCTGTCGTCCCGACAGTTCTGTTCCTTCACCTGAAGAAGGCTAATTGTGTTGTGGCCGAAATGTCGTGAGAATTTTATTGCCTTATTTAGTTTTATTGTTTTATTCTCATTCTACGTGACTTTACCGAAAGAACCAAGAAGATGAATCCTTGCAGTCACGAAAGCTTTAAATCGAAATAAGAATACATCCATTATGTCTATTATTATGGGTATTGCGAAGTATATTGGCGGTTTTTGTTGGACTTAAGGATCGATAAGTTGTTTCCTTTTGCAATGTTTACAGTGACAAAGACTTTCCACGGTTGGGTCAGCTGATTCTGGACTACGAGAACCCCATGAAGAAGATGATGGAGGAGTTTGGACCGCACAGCAAAGTCAGGCCACATTTTGCCTTTATTCCCATTTAATAAACATTTACATATTTTTGGCAGCTGATATAACGCCTCCCATATTGTGTCGATCATGGGGCTTGTTTGACCATATTTCACTCTGCTAGTCAGTATGGATTGATAAAGGTTGGGAAAGGGGGGGGCCCGCACACCAGATTAGATGTCGCACCACTGGTATTGGCTTTGGCCCGGAATCAAGATTTGGCCACCACATCCGTAGTCCAGTGCACTAACAGAATAACATTTTAACTTTCCAAACAACCAGTCATGATCTGTGTGCATTAATTGTACTTGACAAAATCAAATCATTGCTGTCTTTATATTACTGTTTTCTGAAAATTATGGATCTAACAATATTTTGGCAATAATAATATTTTCTGACAATGTTTGCATTGTGTAAATGATAATCAATTACTTTCGCTTTGTATGTCACTGTAGAATCCACATACACAGCAATGACATAAAATTAGTTAACAAATGGAATTGTGATCCTAAATTATCACTAATTTTGTCTTGGGAGTAAAGCGTTATATCCATACAAACAACTGTGCCATCACATTGATAGTTCATTAATTGATTGAGAAATATCGAATACCCATAACGTGCTCATAACATCTCTTTAGTCCACTTCATTCTACGTTAAATGTTTCATAAATGAGATTTATTTTTACATTTATGACAATGCACATGTAATAATGCTGATGGGACGATCCACTGACATTTGTGGCCCGGTTAGTCGGTGACAGAGGCGCTCTTCTCGCTGCAAACGGTGTACCCGCGACGAAACCTGTCGGCCGAGCAGTGGCGCGCGGCACAGATGCTTAGCCTCATCAGCGCCCCGTCCGCCATGCTCAACCCGGCGCAGTCCGAAACGGTACGCCACCGACCTCCCCACTCGCGCCTTGCTACTTCTCGTGACCTACAACGTGAGGTTGGAGGCCCCTGGAAAATTTAAATGGCAATTGTGATTTTATAAATATGCAGAATGCACGTGCTTTTGGTGGCAGTTGGATCGCATGATGTCAGTATGTAGTATATGCAACCATTAGCACAATAGTAAACTTAATTTTTATTGCCTCGTATTTTGCGTGAGATTCCAAGACATTGTCTTAAATTGTATTTGCAGATGCCATGCGAGTACCTCTCCCTGGATGTCATGGAGAAGTGGATTATTTGTACGTACACGTTCTTATTCTCAATGCATCAGCGTTGTAGACTTAGTGTGTTCCATTGCCCTTCATTAAACTTGACTTAAAAACGTTGGTGCTTTAAAACTGGGCTCTGATTGCAATGGAATTATTTTAACAGAAATTGTTGGGCTTATATGCATCTTATTCATGTGTTTGTGTGTGTGTGTGTATACTCGTGCGTGTGCATGCATTGGTCTTTCCAGTCGGCTTCCTGCTGTGTCATGCCAACCTCAACACAGAACAGATGGCGGTTACACTCTGGCGTCTGGCGCTGAACAGTGGCTTCTGTCTCACACTTTTCCGTGACGAGGTGTTCCACTTCCACAAGACCATTGAGGAGCTCTTCCTCAACATCAAGGGGTGGGCTGCCATAGCTTGGTCCATGCATCGCGTCCTTCCATTCCTTGTTCTGAGCTGAGCAATGTTCTTCCATGACTTGCTAACTATACTTTATGATATTGAATCTTACGTATTTGATATTGAATATTGTTGCATATGACACAAAGCTGTACAAATACCAGAACCTATTTTCTATTATTTTTGCCCCTGGAATAGGTACAATAAACGTGCCACGGAGATTCGGGAACTGAAGGACCACGCTCTGACACACGCGTAAGTGCTGCATTCACACGTGCATGTGTGAGATAACGTTCTTTGAATGGTCGTATGGTGTTCGGAAATCCATTGACGTACTTTAAGTTTTTCCATGTTAGACATGGTGTGGACGGCGTGTGGACGGCGTGTTGACGGGGTGTTGTCATGTTGGTAGGGGGCCCATGCACCGCGAGAGGAGGAAATTCCTAAGGGCTGCACTGCGAGAACTTGTCATGGTTCTCACCGACCAACCCGGCCTGCTTGGCCCCAAGGTATGAAGATCGTTCGTCCGTTCCGTTACATCAGACTTTGAACAGGCGATGGCCTGGTTTCCCACGCAGGATGTTCTTGCGAAAGGAAGTCTCAAGTCCGAGAGATGCTTTCTAATGTAAATATTATTGACCCTTTATAGCTGGATCCAGTTTATCACTTTCAGTTATAATACTTTCAAACCCAAGGTTGTCCTCCGTCATTAATAAATGCTTAATTACAAGAGGTATGCACGACCATGGAGACATTGTAAAAAACTTGGACCTTAGTATGCCATTTTTAATCACAATGTAGTGAAAATGTTTCCTTTCCCCCAGGCTTTGTTCGTCTTCATGTCTTTGTCATTTGCGAGGGACGAAATCTTCTGGCTGCTGCGCCACGCCGAGAACATTCCAAAGGCCAAGAACTATGATGACTACGTGGACAAGTGAGGACTCTTGATTGCACGTTGAGGTTAATACAGTAGACGCTGCATATAAGCAAACCTCTTGGGAGCAAGGTCGGGTGTGCTTATATCTGAATTAGTGTTCTTTCATGAGAAGTTGCCTGTTTCCTCCCCCCGCCAGTGAATTGTCAGCATGTGTTGCTTATATCACAACTGTGCTTGCATAACATGTGCCTATATTTAGCTTCTAATGTTTTAGAAACCATTTTATGTAAGTTTATTCATTTGAGTGGCTGGCCTGCGATTATGAGATGCCTTGAGCAACCAAGATACATCGCGTCTACGCAACTGATGTTTTGGTCTTGGGGCATCGCAAGTGTGGGTGCTCGCTAAGTTGCTCGTGAGTTGGCGTTTTGCTCTTTGACGTTGGCACGTAGGGGTGCGAGTTCACGGTGTAGTAACGTGACTGGCGCGCTCCACAGGCACCTGGCTGAGCTGATGTTCTACATGGAGGAGCTGCGGGCGCTCGTGCGCAAGTACGGGCCTGTCATGCAGCGCTACTACGTGCAGTACCTCTTCAGCTTCGACGCCGTCGCGCTCAACGAGCTCGTGCAGGTGCCCGCTTGCGCCCTCACAATCCCGGTTTTTTGTCGCATCGACCCTGGACTAAGTCGGCATCCGCTCTAACTCCTTTCAAACGGTCACGATTTTGCACACCACATACAGGGTTTAGTCGACTTAAGAAGAGCAATGCCTATGGCCAAATCACCTGGAATGCACCTAACCTCGGACATTGAGCAGAGCCTGGATAGTGTTTGAATGGATGGCGACCGTGCACATATTAGACATATAATAGGCGTCGTGGGTAGTAGAGGGGAAGCAGAAATATCACCCACACCCTACGACTTTAACCAGCCCGCACTGACCATTGTGGTGAAGTATAGCCAAATATCCATGACGGCCCGCAAGGGAATAAGGAAGTCCTCATCCAATAGGTTGACAAAAAGAGCTCTATATGTAGTTGTACAAGATGAGCGATGCACTGAAATAAATATAAATATGATGAAATGATACCCAGCATGTGAGATTCTAGGGGCTGCTTTAGCAGTTCATGAGAATCAATAATTAACACACTTTAACACAACAAAACACCTATAGTCCGAACAAAGTAATGATTAGGAAAGGTAGAAGATGATTGTGATAATTATTTCAGTAAAGTGTTTTCAGCCTTTGCTTTCTCACTACAACCAATGCAAGCCCTTTCATTCTAGATCCATATGATAAGTCCAAAGTTTTTCTCTCGCGTTATTCCACACTCTATTCATCAAAATAGTAGCTTTTATTTTTCAATACCAACCAATGTTTATTAATGATGTTGGTGATAAACCATTTCAATTTCAACCAGTGTGTAAACACAAGCCAGTGTTTGCTAATGATGTTAGTGATAAAGTATTTCCATTCCAGTCGGTGAGGAAAATAAGTTGGCAGAATTTGTGTGTGTGTGTACAGAGCCTGTGTTGCCCTCACGCTGCTGCTTCGTGTCCTTTGCCCTTTCCAGAATCTGTCTGTGTGCCCAGAGGATGAGTCCATCATCATGTCCTCTTTCGTCAACACCATGACCTCTCTGAGCGTCAAGCAGGGTGGGTTGTTTGCTCATGCATCGCGCCACCTATTCGCTCTCGCGATTCACCTGTTTGGCTCACCGGAGTTTATGCCGTGGCTGTTTTCTGAGTGGTGGAGACGGAACTTCCCACAGATGGAAAATGTAACACGATCAGTCAATTAAATTTAGACAACTCCAGTGCAGTTTAAAAATAGCATCAGTTTGTTGTTCCAACAGTCTCTTGACCTATTATTCAGCCCAGCTAACCAGCAACACAGTCTACAATAACAGGTGTCAATTCCTATTTAAAATAGACCATGTTTATGTATTTTGATTTAAAGCTTTCTTGGTTCTTTCGGTAAAGTCACGTAGAAGGGAAACGTGACTTTACCGAAAGAACCAAGAACATGTTTATGTACTTTAGTCCTAATTTTTGAGGCCTGACAAACATCAATCATATGTTTGTTAATGTAAAAAGTGATGGCAAGTGTTTGTTGTTGATTGCAGTTGAGGAAGGTGAGATGTTTGACTTCCGAGGCATGAGACTCGACTGGTTCCGGCTACAGGTAAGACACCTTGATTCCCCCACAATCACAGGAGAAGTCCCTGAATGCATTTCTCTACTTCCAGCTTGGTTGATCATTCTCTAAAGATTGTGTTCCCTAATATTTATCCACTTTTGACCAACTCCCCCAGAAAATACCCAATCTATTATGTTCTCTGAAGCTAGGCTTGGTTGAGCCTGGATAATGCTTGGGTGGGTAACCAGCATGCACAGCACCACAACAGGTTGTTATTCGCTGCGGAGCTATGTGGTGGGTAGCACAGCGCAGTGCAAAAATATATTATTGTAATGTCCTATGGTCTTATGTACCTGCTTTGCCTTCACCAACCTGCACTGACCAGCACGGTGAATTGCGTTCATTTAACCTCAGCGACCCACACCACATGGGGAGTCCCTCATCCAGAAGTGAATTGACAGAAGAGGTGTACATGTGCATTTTGGCCACAATTTCTTATAAAATGGCAATGCTGTTGCACGATGTGTTCTTTAGAGGTACATCACAGCCATTACTAATGACAACACTCTTAATACTCTCACACAGATGCCTCATAGAGGATGACTAATTATCCGTTTGATTGTAATCAAGTGACATCATCTTCAGCCTGAAACCGGTTCTCTCTGCCTGCCTCATTCCTATCCTGGCACTTTCCTCAATGGCTGACCTTTCAAAACAATACCTCTTCAATAATATGAAATTTAATTTGAGAAGCTTGCATGGTAAATGCTGAAATGTAGTGCTATTTGCACAGCATTAAACGTACTGCTTAGACCATTAACAACTCAGTGTTATTCTGTCTCTTTAGAGCTATGTGGAAATATAAAGCTAGTCTTGTCTATAATGGCAGTAATCGCAACATATCCTCGATTTGTGATATTATGCATCACTGATGTGTGTCTGGTATAAAAAGCTGCATTTTGAACAAGGCAACCCCAGTTGCAAAGGCATTTGGGTTTATCACTGCAAGGTATACACCGTCCTATTTAATCTGGCGAAACATTAATTAGCTGGTTGCGTTGCTTTCACTGCAGGCATACACGAGTGTGTCGCGCGCCTCCCTGCACCTCAAGGACCACTGTGACCTGGGCCGCATGATGAACACCATCGTGTTCCACACGCGGATGGTGGACTCGCTTGACGAGATGATGGTGGAGACCTCCGACCTCTCCACCTTCTGGTATGAGCCTGCCATTGCACACAGCGTTGACACTGGTTACTCTGAGTTTTTCAATTATTTAACGACATGTTTTTGAATAATCCCGTGAGTTAGATCATCTCAAATGCAAGGGTGCCAAGGGTGTCAAGTGACACATAAATAGCAAACGTAATGAGACGTATAGAAACATTTCAAAATCTTAAACATGTACAGTGTGCATTCATACAATTTAAAGTACATTTATAGCAAGTCAAGAACAGGAACAAGACAGCCCAGGAAGCGTGCATGAACATTTCACTGCAATCATATTCACAAATAAGTGGCGCGCACCACCGGTCTGGCAAAATGTGCAGCAAAGGAAGACTTGCAATCCAAAAGCGGTCCTTCCTGGTTAGGCCACGTCTTGTGCATTTCTTCTTTCAAAGATGCAACATTCGCTACTGCGGCATCATCATGAGTTAACCAAATGTTGAGAATGAATGGAATTTTTTTCCTCGCGTGGTTCAGTCATGTTTATTGATGCACAAGATTAATATAACACGGTTGTAGAGGTATGGTTGGATTTTTTTTATATGTGTGGTATTCGAAAAAGCAACGAGCGTACACCAATTTTAATCTTGTCGTGAATGTTTTCTTTGCAGTTTCCACAGCCGCCCGTTTGAGAAGATGTTTCAGCAGTGCCTGGAGCTGCCCTCCCAGTCGAGGCACTCCGTCGCCTTTCCACTCATCTGCTCACACTTCATGAGCTGCACCCATGAGCTTTGCCCCGAGGAGGTTGGAAACGCATATGTCCACTCGCACGCACACACGGATGGATCACGCATACATGCCATGTGATGTAGGGATGTTTCACTGTGTGGTGGTCCTCATAGCGTTGCTATGCATATGTGCTATGTGTTAGCTTATTCAAACAAGCTGCGCTAACTTTGTAGACAGTGGCTGTCCTGGCATATCTGTGTGGTCATGGTCAAATTCTGTAACCTTTCTGACTTAACAGTAATCAACCCCCACAGGTAGTCATTCCGGAAACAAATTGTACATTATTTTCAAACAAGTTTACCCGTAATTGTCACTGAAAAATATTTTGTCACACAGCGCTTCATAATTCTGGGTCGGAATGCGCGAGTAAAATTCCAATGTGTGTTGTACACTCTTATTTTACTTGCGTGATCTGATCCAGCAATCAATGCGAATAATATTGTTGGCAAAAGCCTAAGTGTTAAAAGTAACAGCTTATTGAAATTTCGCCAATACATCCAATGTATTCAGTTATTGAGTGTTGTGCAAGCTCGCCAGGATTTGGCAAAGACATGCCGACTTTTCACCCAGGCAATGGGAAAGCGCAGACTCGAGTATTGCTTAACCTATCACTTAAATAGGGAGGCCTCACCGAGTCTCAAGACTCAGGAGGGTCCTGCCAGATTTTTGCAGTCGGGGGTAATGTTTCTGCTGTGTGTAATCCAATTGAGTAATTTGCAGGTAATTTATCAGCTTTGGGATGTTTGGCCAATACCAATTATATTGTATGTTTTTTTTTTTAGCTATGGGAGGAATCCGGAGAACCCGGAGGATACCCATGCAGAACAGGGGGAGAACAAAAAAAACCCACAATGAAAGGCGCCCGAGTCAGGAATCCAACCCAGGCCCTTCTTGCTGTGAGGCACAAGTGATACCACTGCGCCACCCTGCCATCCATTATAAAGTCTTTATAGAGTTCTGAGGTGCTATTGTCAGCGATATCCCCCACCTATTCGACCGGGGCACCCTTCTTTGTGGGTGTCTCGGGATAAATGGTGGGGAGAATAACTCTTATGGCTACGCTTCCCTGCTGGGTGCTATCCTGATCATGAGTGCCCAGCCCTATGCATCTAGCCCACAGGCCCTCTAGTGTGATCACCTACAGTGGCATTGTTATGAATATGTGAAGTCTCACTGAGTATCAAGACTATTAACCTTTTCACAGCCATGCTTTTTTTACTGTATGTCACCCTGCAGCCAGTCACTTGTTTAATTCATTGCTTTTGGATATATTTTCAGAATGAATAGGGCATGCCCTTTCTTCCTTGTGCAATATCTTTAAATTTGACTTAACTTTCGTGACTGCAGGAATTCATGTTCTTTGGTTCTTTCGGTAAAGTCACGTAGGTAGAAAAATAATAATAAAATATAAAGTTAATAATTATAATAAATACTAATGTAGATTGTAGCCTGGTTATTAAGTTTGAGTGTACTGGTAGTGTATAATGTAGACTATAGCAAAGGTTATTATGCTATGTCAGTGTCCTGGCAGTCTATAATGTAGACTGTAGCCTGGTTCTTAACCTCGGTGAGTGTACTGGCAGTCTATAATGTAGAGTTATTATTGGTTCTTTCAGTAATTGAAATAAAATTAAAACAAAAACCACGATGTTTCGATTGCAACACAAGCGGTCGTCATCAGGAAAAAGGGGGTTAGCCTCTAAAGGCAAACTGTGAAAGGTTTAGAGATGGGCGTAGCCCAAGTGTGTCAGCAGCATGGGCAGGGCAGGCAATGTTATTGTCGGAGAAGACAAGCAACTACACCAATCAAAGGACCGCCAGGCAATCATTGCACCTCGCTTCACACACCCACACTGCTGACGGAGGTTGACAAGAAAACACAAATCAAGTCATGACCCAAAGTGGTTAATGACATTTTTCCAATGATTGCTGAGTTTATAAACATCTTCTTGGTTGAAATTGTGTCTCTGTATATATGGATGGCTTCATGAACGAATCTTTGTTGATAGCCAGTAGGCTTGCAAAGTCCCATCGTCTTAGAGAAATCAATTTCGTGTGAGCCAGCCGCATTAAAATAATGATCAGCCACGGTAGAAGTATTTGTCCTACTGTGTTTCAAATCTGCCTTATGCTCACCAACACGGTCCGAGACATGTCGTTTAGTTTCCCCAATGTGACTGCTGCCGCAGATACAGCTTAGTTTGTAGACGCCGTGATATTGCATGTCAGGAATCCTGTCCTTCACAGACAGGATCAGATCACAAATTTCATGTATTTTTATTACCGAAAGAACCAATAAGTCTTTATTATAGACTGCCAGTATGCTCACCGAGGTTAAGAACCAGGCTGCAGTCTACATTATAGATTGCCAGTGCACTCTGATTAAGAACCAGGCTACAGTCTACATTAGTGGGTTATTTTGTTTTTTATTTGTATTCACTTCATGTTTTTTTCTATCTACGTGACTTGACCGAAAGAACCACGAAATGGCAGCAGCAAACGCATGTGTGTAGCCCACAAACAAACCTGACATTTAGTCATGAGAAATATCGGGAGTGGCCATAGTGGAGGGAATTGCCAGCTGACAAAAATAGACGGGACTAGCTGTGCAAAGGTTAAGTTTTGCCATCCTTATTGTGGGACGCTCTTGGCCATGATCATCAATTATTGACTTATGGTTTAGATTATTTTGAGAACTTCCTGAACACTTGACTGGCAACTCATGTAATACATTGCGACTGATTGCGTCTGCTGCAATGCAGGTATAATGGGGAGAGTGGTTGTAAAATCCTTAACGATATATAGGATGGGAGTCTGCGTTGTCCAGATTAGGAAGGCCCATTGGCTTCATTGAGCATTGCACAACACACACAACCTGAGCCATCACTTCCATGTAGTGGAGTAAATTAAAGAATACATTTAGAATCAGGTTAAAGACCCCTAATAGGTAATAAGTCTTTTCCAGTGGAAATGCTGACTGCATTTTACGGGAGCAATGCAAATACATTTATTTTAATATCATGCAAACTGGGCACTTAAAAATCACACAGGGAATATTTGACAGTGGTATCTGTAAATGATGAGAGATACCCACCACTCGATAATAACTGTTCGAGTGTGTCAACTAAAATTCACAACAGTTTAAACGCATGCAAATTTCCTGGCATTGCGAATGGCGTTGGTAATTGCCGATGTTTACTTTGACAGCGTCATCACATTGGTGACCGCAGCCTCTCGCTTTGCAACTTCTTCCTGGATGAGATGGCCAAGCAAGCACGCAACCTCATCACGGATATCTGCTCTGAGCAGTGCGCCCTCAGTGACCAGGTACGTGCTGTATTCCAATGGCCTTTCATTCTAGGCAAGTTTACTGGCAGAGCTAAGAATCCTCCTGCTTGTTTTCTAATTCTAAATAGGAACATGAGTCTCACAGGAAGTGTGGTCAAGTGTATAAAATGGGAACTTGTGGTACGCAGTTTAGAATTCTGTTGGTGTTTGTGCATGTGCAACAGCCTCGTAGTTATCGCACTGCTGCTGGGTGTGGTCCAGGCCACACCTCACCCTCTTGTGTGCCAAGCTGGCTTTAATAGTTGCTCGCAAACAGCACTTGCCCCACCAGTCAATAAGGCTGCACAAGGATATTGGTCTTTATCTTACCTTTTGTGTGTGCGCGCTCACTTGTGTGTTTTGTGTGGGCGGCATCTTATATTCAGCTGCTGCCCAAGCACTGTGCCAAGACTATCAGCCAGGCGGTGAGCAAGAAGTCCAAAAAGCAGGCGCAGAAGAAAGGGGAAACGGAGAAAGAAAAACCCGGAGTGGAGAGCATGCGCAAGGATCGTCTTATCAGCACTAAGTGAGCGCTGCGTTGTCTGCATTGCGATCGATCCATATACACAACATGCCTTGCTCCAATAGCCAAAAACCCCTCTTAAACGTGGCCAACGCACTGTTCTTTTCATTAACGATTTAAGAAATAATTGATGCTTAAGAGGTAGTTTTGAGACACTGGGTTTGAAGCAAGCCAGCCACCTGTGATTCTGCAAAATCACGTAAAAATATCGGTTTGGCTGACGTGTGATGAACATTAACCACTGTACCTGGGCACATGGGAATGTACTGCCTCTTTTATGTGGCTCAGAGGTCAAACGAAAGTATCTCGGGAGTACAGAGATACCTTGATTTTCATCACATCGCTCTTTCGGCCGTTTTCAATTATTACCACATTTCAAATTTCGTCCACGTGCTTTTGTCTTTTGTCCGATTTCATCCCAAACCTTCCACGACGTTCGTGCCACGAGCCATCTTTTTCATTCAGTCTTTGAATAGAAGTCGTTCAGTGAGCATCTCTTATATTTGTGTTCATGCATATACTATTTATGGCCTTCGGCCAGGAAAGTCACGAAAAATTGCACACAAACGACGCATTAACGCTCGTACCCGATGCCCCGTTTTGAAGTTTTAAAATGAAACATTTTTTAATTGTATTATGTTTGAATTAGATAATTCTATTTCTTCATTAAAAGCTTGTATCATTTTACATCTGGAAGACTTCATTGAAAAGGATACTTCATGTGAATTTTCTCTCGTCGTTAAGTAGATGGCCTTGCTAGGTGTTCGGTTCGATGCGGACTTTCACCTGGTTGGGATTGCGGGATCGAGATAAGGCGACATAGAGTTGGCCGTACGAGAAGACCGCCGTCTGCAGATCGATTCCAACGTAATCGAACGTTTGTCCCTGCGCCTCCGTCGTTCATGCAGGGGACGCGTAGGTTTGCAGCGCCCCCTGCATGAACATGACGGAAAGTGCAGCGTTCATCACAGATAGAGAAAGTTGTGCGCTTATGTAAGAGTATTATTAATACAGTACTTCTTTCTGTGATTATCCTGTAAACAATAATAGTTATTTTTGTGATAACAGTATAATACTACAGTGTTCATAGTTATTTTCGTGATTATATAACACGTGTACAGTATTCATACTGTGCGTATTTTTGTGATTACTGTAAAATACTTATTTTTGTGCCTTAATATATTCATAATGGGTCCTAAAGTGTGGTGATAGTAAAGCTAAAATAACCCATACGGTTCTCAATTTGAAAGAAAAGCTTACCATAATCAAACTTGACGAGCAAGGCTAAATAAAGGCTCTGCTTTGACATTCGTCCATTTTTTACATTCGTCCATGCTCTGGTCCCTAACCAGACGAAAGTGCAAGGTATTCCTGTAGTTCTATGATGTCCACCTCTGTGGTTCGTTTCCCTAGCATGCAAGGTTACACTGCCATTTGAGAGAAGAAATAAAATACATTATTTGTATTTATGAACCTGATTGTGCGAATATCGGAGGCAGGTTTTTAATGTGGGTTTTAACGCAAGGGCTTCTGTCTGGCTGCCTTGCTGTGTGAAGTCTGGACAAGCTGCATACGGCACTGGTGGAGCTGTGTTTCGCCATCAACTATGCCCCTTCCATCGTGGTGTGGGACCACACCTTCACACCACGCGAGTATCTCGCCCTGCACCTGGAGTACCGCTTTACAAAGTACGCACAAGTGCACATAGATGCATGTGCGAACGGCTTACACGCACACACAGACAGATTGACGTGTTCCCCTTGATTGGGTTTTATTCTGAGTTTCACGCTCAAGCGTGAGTCGTGGCAGTTTGGTGGTAAAGTACTCCCAAAGACGTCGTCTCATTTAGCAAAGAGACTGCTTCAATACAAGTTTTAACATTAAAATATGATCCGTCACATACATCACAATGTGTTTAAAGATGGGATGTGAAATTGGATAGCTCTGTGGGAAGCAGAAGTTTTCTATAAATGAATACATTTGTTAGCTCCCTTTGATACGATTGACGTAATTGTGAGGACTAATGGTTTGGTATGGTCAGTCAGGCCGCCAGTGTAGTGTTCCTCCTTTTGTGGTATGGGCCATTTCGATTTAAAGCTTTCGTGACTGCAGGGATTTATCTTCTTGGTTCTTTCGGTAAAGTCACGTAGAATGGAAATAAAATAATAAAAATAAAACATAATAAAATAAAATTCTCACGACGTTTCGGCCCCAACACAAGTAGCCTTCCTCAGGTGAAGAAACAGGACTGTCCAGAAGACAGTGCTTCTTCACCTGAGGAAGGCTACTTGTGTTGTGGCCGAAACGTCGTGAGAATTTTATTTGATTATGTTTTATTTTTATTATTTCATTTCCATTCTACGTGACTTTACCGAAAGAACCAATAAGTATGGGCCATTGTTGGCTAAACAGATATTCCTGAATTTAGTGTTTTTGAGTACAAGATACGGTGTATACCCGTGACTCTGCTATCACACTTTCACGCTCGCAAACACGATGGGTGAGCGTCTGGTTTTATCTTGATTTGTCTGGATTTGTTGTCGCGGCACGCAGGGCCATTGTGGGCATGACGATGTACAACCAGGCGACGCAAGAGATCGCCAAGCCCTCGGAGCTGCTCACCAGCGTCAAGGCCTACATGTCGGTGCTGCAGTCCATCGAGAACTTTGTTCAAATCGACATCACGCGCGTGTTCAACAACGTGCTGCTGCAGCAGACGCAGCACATGGACAGCCATGGTGACACCACCATCACCACGCTGTACACCAACTGGTGAGGACCACATCTCACCGAGGTTTCACTGGTGTTTGGCCACAGCGTCCGTGATGAGAGGTTCAACCATCAGTTGTTCATCATTGAACCACTTGAGTGAACGTCAAACTGAAAATCGAACAAATGGAAACAATTGGTTCTGGTGTGATACACTGACTGGAGGTGGAGTTTAGGTGTAATGTTTGGGTTCACAAAGTTGGCCAGTCCTAGTATCCCATTGGCTAGTCTATTTGGGCTGGAGTTACGGCCGGCATTTGCTTGGTTAGTACACTTAATCTGCAAACGTTTTGCCCCCTCCACCCTATTGCAACATACATCTGGTGTCGGTTTTTGGCAGCATTTCAGTTTCCAGTTTGTAAAGTGCCATGCTGTGCAGCTGGCCGAGGGATGTTGATCTGTGTGTGTACGACGCTGACCCCACTGTCCGTGTGGCAGGTACTTGGAAACTCTGCTGAGGCAGGTGAGCAATGGCTTCATCGCGTACTCCCCGGCCATGAAGGCGTTCATCAATCTGCCCACGGAGAACGAGCTCACGTTCAACGCGGAGGAGTACTCGGACATAACCGGTGCGCTCCCACTGCGGGTACCAGTGAAAAAAAAATGATCGTGGAAGCAGTCTTCACAATTAAATATACTACTGAGGGTGGGAGTGATGGTGCCATGGTTAGTGCGTTGCACCACAAACCCCCACTAATTCAGATATTACCACAGCTAACATCGGTGGTGATTAATGGTTCATACCAAAGCTCCCTTGCAAATGGGCCGTTCCAAAAAGGTTTTGTTGCTGCGAGCACATGAGATAGGGCGAATACATGCAAGTTCTGAACACGATGTCTGTGTTTGCGCATCGACTCTCGCTGCAGAGATGCGAGCGCTGGCCGAGCTGTTGGGACCGTACGGAATGAAGTTCCTCAATGAGAGCCTTATGTGGCACATCTCCTCCCAGGTGGCCGAGTTGAAGGTGGGTACGACTCGTCCATGCCACAGTCGCTGCACATAAAACAACGACGATACTAGAAGTTAAAAGTGTACTCTTCAAAAGGAAGGCCTGCATTCATGTTCCAAGTGATATTGCTACTCGTAATGTTTTGTATTCATCACGATGAGTTTGACTTTAATGTTAAGACTGTCCTGAATTGGATAAATATATTTCCAGACACAACAACAATAACAATAGCTGCCGTTCTCCACAAGGTAACAGTGATGTTGCCACAGTACTTGTGCCAAGCTTAGGTGCACTTTGTAGCCACATGAAGTGTTGGATGCTCCCTAGCAGGAGGTCATGGGAAAGATACAAGTGTTTGTCAGAGGTTAATTGACTGGCAGATGCAACACCTGTTCTCCAAGTGCCGAACAAACACACACTCGCACGCACGAAGCATGCAAGAAAGGCGAACCCACTCGTGTAACAATCTCTCTACCTGCAGAAACTGGTGATGGAGAACATGGAAGTTCTGATGCACATGAGGACAAGCTTTGACAAGCCCGAACACATGGCAGCACTTTTCAAGAAGCTCCAGTGTACGTGTCAGCCGTGTGCCTTTTGCAAACCTTTAACCAACCCCACACCGGTTAATTTGCATACCCCCCCGGGCTGTACCGCTCGGTACAGGATGAGTTAAAGTTCCTGTGTCGGTGTGGCCTGTGCTGCAGCTGTCGACAGTGTGCTCAAGCGGATGACCATCATCGGCGTCATCTTGTCCTTCCGATCCCTGGCACAGGAGGCGCTGCGTGATGTGAGTCATTGCACGCATCACACCAAGATTTTCACGTTGATCGCTCGGGGTCGTTTAATTCTGAGCCAGGCAGTCGAGTCCAACCCATTTCATCTTCTCACCTTCACGTGCGAGATGTGGCCATCACATTTAATCGCGTTAACTAGCAGTTGTCATTTTTGCACAAGACATTAAATCGTGTATATATGTGAAAAGGTGAGTTTATAGAAGTACTGGATTAACAGCTCAGGAACATTTAATATGCAACCAGAATTAATTTATTGAAGCCCACCCAGAATTTGCAAAGTAGCGACTTAAAATGTAATTTATTTGGTCTAATTATTATGTCTGATTTTAACAAAATATTGCTATTTGGGACATCCTACAGTGGTGTAATGCCTCCAATGTTGTATGTTTATTTGTTTATTTATTTTAATACACTGCTTGCTGTGCAATTAAACACAACAATGTGTGTGCATGTCTTCTCTAGGTGTTATCCCATCACATTCCGTTCTTACTCAGCTCCATTAAGGACTTTAAGGACCACATACCTCGTGAGACAGATATCAAGGTAATGTGCACTCAGGAGATAATTGATTATGCGATAACACTCGCGTAGCAGAGTGATATTGAGACAAAGTGCTTATTTCTCTTATCTTTCGACGATACATTTTTCTTCATAATATATGGACACATTAGTTCTGAGAAGTTCAACAAATTTTAGTCGATTTTGAAAACTATTAAGAATTAGTTGAAGTAAATATAATCTTTAAAGCATCTAGATTTGCCAAAGGCTATCTTGTTTTTAATATAAAAGAGCATTCTCAGAAATGCTACCATGATGTGGAAGTGACTAAAACACCTAGATCTTAACCTAGCGTGCATGCATCCCTTGGGGGTGCGAGATGCCCTTTCTGGGCGTGCGAGACATGCCAGATTTTTTTTTAATATATATAAATCATCAAAACACATTATGTACGGGCACGTAAGTAAGACTACTTTGTTTGATCAAACCTATGTATTTATTAACATACATTTTTTAGCGATTGAGAACCAAAGGGGGGGCGGTGCAAGGCTGTAGTAAAGGTTAAGAACCACTGACCTAGATGATCATAATAACTCTTACTAGATGTGTGAAATCATAATATACGTACCAGATAACAGTGATAATGCTGCATATGGTGCAGGTGGCGATGGGGGTGTACGAGCTGTCGTCTGCCGCGGGGCTGCCGTGCGAGATAGACCCGGCCCTCGTCCTCGCGCTCACCTCACAGAAAGGGGGTAAGATAAGCTGTCTTCTTCTTTCGTACGGCTGATGTAGATGCAGAGCGCAACACCTACGATTTCAGAACCAGATGGTCAAGCCAGAAAACCGCGTCAGGAGCAGCAGAGTGAATCGCCGTAATGTTTCCTCCGTATGTGTAGATCGGGCAATGCGCTGTTATGGTCTCTGTTCTGGATAACCACAGTCGCACACTGGAGAGTTTTTAATTTTCCATTTGTGCATCAGGTATCCGCATCTATTGTCATGGTTTTTGCCGATGCGGTTTAGGGTGGACCATGAGCTGTGACCAAAGCTGACAACGACGAATTGGGGACATTTATGGAGACATTTCTGGAGATTAACTCCCAAGTGGCTGCCGCAGTTACTTCTGAGAAATTAAATGGTGCATTGCGAATGTTTTACACTTAATGTCACAAGATAACAAACGCATCGTGACAATGTGCGATTGCAAAGCCTGGTTAATGTGCATCGTCATGTAAATAGTGACAGGTGAACAGTAGCTAACATTGTTTGCTTAACATCTGATGTGTACTCCACACATTGCACATCCCTGCAGAAAACCTGTCTCCAGAGGAAGAGTACAAGATTGCTTGCCTTCTCATGGTTTTTGTGGCTGTGGCCATTCCGACCCTGGCCAGCAACCCACTCTCCCAGTACAGCCCACTTCTGGAAGGCAAGTTTCCCCTCTCACTGTATTTGTCCGACTTCTCGTCACTATTCTCGCATATCGCTCTCCTGCCGTTTGATTGACCGCAAAATGTGCCGTACGCCACAGCGAGCACCTTGAGCAACCGGTGAATGCTCATTGCAGGTCACGTGAACAACATCCACTGCCTGGCCAAAGCCGTGAACCAGATTGCAGCAGCGCTGTTCACCATCCACAAGGGCAGTATCGAGGATCGACTCAAGGAGTTCTTGGCGGTGCGTTTCCCCCCCTTGGCTCCCGGTTTCTCCTGGCAAGGCTTTAAGTAACCACCCAAACTGGCCCCCACCCACATCTAGTGGAGAAGTCCTTCAAGGAACATTGTGTGAGATTATTGATGCAGTGTTTAATCTTTTTTTTTTATAATAATAATTATTTTCTATAAGAGTTCAGATTCTTCTAAACCAAAATATGCATTATCGTAAAAGATTGGCTGCTCTGATTTTCTTTCCCCATTTGCTTCGACTCTGCACCTCTTCCCTTGTCACGTCCACTGTCCTCATATCTCTCTCACTCCACAAAATCTTTCCATCTTACCCTCGGTCTCCCTCTTCTCTGCCATGTACCGTCATCATTTAAAAAATAGTTGTTCTTACATATATTTCACAGTATTTGTTAAATATTTATAGAAGAACCCAGTACATAATGTAGGACACAACATTTTTTAAAGAAAAGTCATTTCACAGCTGAAATAAAATATATTTACACTGCAGATGCTCAATTGTTTGCTCATTATTGTCTTTGTTCTCATTGTCTCTGAATGATCTCAGCTGGCCTCCTCCAGTCTGCTAAAGATCGGACAAGAGACGGACAAAGTATCGACCAGAAACCGTGAATCTGTCTACCTCCTGCTAGATATGGTGAGGCTGGATGTGGTGCTAATATGGTGCAAAACGGCAGCCAATTATAGGGCTGCTTATCCATAACACATTGTGGAACCTCTGAACCATCGCAATATCACATTCAGAGTCAGGTCTGTGCCGTAGTTATTTTAATATAGCGGTGGTGTGGTTGCTCTCACTGCGTGGTTATCAGCCACAGAGTTATGGCCTCCAAAAGTTACTTTTTATTTAGAACAATAAGTCATGGGATTAAAATGGGGCAGGGTAATAAAAATAAATCTTAGACCACTTTTACTTCAAGAACAATGCATTCAAATGTAAAAAAATGATGCTAGATTTGCCACATTATGTTGCAGTTACTCTTCACTAGCAGTGCTGTTATGCGTGTAGTCAGGCCGGAGCCGCCACCTGATGATAAAATACAGGTGTTAATTTGTTTTAAAATCTAAAAAAATTTATTCCTGTTCTCTGAAACAAAAATAAATGTTAAATTGAGTACTGTGTTGCATAAATTGTCACATGGTGTACCACGACAGCAAAGCATGTACATCTAGGAAAGACATCACAGGTGGTGTGTGTGCGCGAATGTCGGTGTGTCGTACAGATAGTCCAGGAGTCCCCGTTCCTGACGATGGACCTGCTGGAATCGTGCTTTCCATACGTTCTACTGCGTAACGCCTACCACGCCGTCTACAAGCAGGGGCTGAGCGCCGCCTCCTAGAGTACACGCCCCAACGTTGCCCGTTGACGTCTTTCTATCACGTTCGTCTGTTCCGCCCACTGTTGTGTCAAGTGAGTGTGGTGTTATTCTGTCTGTTGTAGCGTCCTCGTTGAAGAGAGTTACTTTGCACAATGAAATGTTTTGACATGTGCCTCGGTGTGCGTTGCCTAGGCTTGGGCGACGATCTTCAGGCAGGCTGTCCCATGTGCCCTGCACGAAGATGTTCGTCTGAACGAGTGAAATTCTTGGGCAATCACCTGGTGGTTGTGCTGACAGGCATTCGCATGGGGGCAGTGTTTACCTCTTGATTTTTAGAAAGTCTAATCTTGTATAAGAGGTGGTGCCAAAAATCCCACATCTTTTGTAAATTAGCAGATCCCCTTCACATTAGTCACGGGAGTGTAAATCCCTTCAAATATTGAGTTCTCAGGGCAAAGTAAACTATGACATCCAGACTTAGTTGCTGCACGATTTAATGTTGTAAATGATAAACATATCTTCCCAGGAAAATGGAAGGACAATGAAGTAGGTCAACTGTTAAGCACGGCAGAAGTTGATTTCTTAAAATCTGTTAATTGGAATGAGTAGAAGCCAAACATGGTCATTGTGTGTCTCAAATGCTTCCTTCTGTTTGAGATGAGAAAATTCAAAGCATTTGGTTATCCCATTACTCCAGACTAGAGAGTAGCAGGAAATCAAGAGCTCAGAGTCGATCCAAGGTTACTGCCATGACCATATGCTAACACTTGTTGGAAAGCCAACCACATGGCTTGCAACTTTACATGTGGTAATAAAATATACCAGAAACATGACAAAATAGAATGTTCCTATTGAAAACGACGCTGTAGAGATTTCTTATGGTGTGCACCGACAAAAATGCACACAGACATGCGCTTGACATGCAGACCAGCTGAGTTGGTTGGGATTGGCGTGTTGCTTGTCATTGCTAGTTCAGTGGTGGCACACGTTCTATGCTTGGCACAAAGGTTTCCTGCATGGGTTCGAGGCAGGCACCTGCCTTCATGCAAATGCTCCTCAACCCTGTGGGTTTCATGTATCAGTGAAGCTCTGAAACTGAAAGCTGCCGTTGCATTGTGGGTCCTGTATTGTGCCCACCTAGTCAGTCCTGAGGAATGGGTTGATGGCAGTTAATTTGCACGTGTGGAAAAACATTACAATTTTTGTATTTAAAGGTTTTAGTGTTTCCAAAAATGTAAACTGTTCATATAACTTCTTAACATTATTTTACTTTTTTTAACTGCATTTGAAACTTGCATTACAAACTGCACTGATTAACGCTTATATTTTCTGGTTCAAATTTTGCGTTTTCAGATTGTGCCATTCATTTGTGGCATTGTGTGGGCGAATATTCCGTCGTATACATGCAAAGGTGTGGTCACTGAAGCGTTTGGGCTTATGCCCAGCATGGCTAGTCCTGTTACTTTTGCTGGTGCGAAAACATTCACCCTCATCCTCCACAACAAAAGGGCAAAAAGCTTGCGATGTTCATTGTGTGTGCAGAGCTGTTTTGAGCAGCTCTTTCAGATCCTGTCCTGAGCAAGGAGTAGTGCCCAGTCAGTGTCACCATCACCACAGGTGGTGTTGTAGATCAGAGACGTATGGACGGAGGTTGTGTGCTTGGGTTGTGGCACCGTGTGCCTGTGGTTATTCTGCATAGCTGGCAATAGGCACTCACTCTTCTGTCACCAAATGCTTTGTTTTCTACATGCCATGTGTAGTAGTAAATGGCTCTCCTACTTGCTCTTGTTTACATATTGTAACATAAACATGAATCCAGACTTTCGGGTTCTCTTTTAGATGTTTTTTTCTATTATATTAGCGACTTTTGTTAAGTTGCCTGGTGGAAGTGAAGATGCACATCACTGATTATTATTATTTGCTCTTTACTCAAATCACTGTGGTCTAGATGTGTGTGTGTGTATATATATGCAGTGTTAACTTGCAATTTTCATAATTTTGAATATTCAGCAAACAATAAGAAAGCATTTACACCATTTATTAATCCTTTAGATTTCGGTTTGTTTGATACGATTATATGCATTAATTTACACGTATTATAATATCTGAAAATTTGTACAAAATGAAAAATGTGTCATTTTACTTTGTTCATAAATATTCTTTTTGTTAAGATAGTATGAAAAAAATGCATGTCCGAAGTGTGGCACTGGAATGAGTCGGACACGGAACAGCAGAGATCAGCTCTTCACTCTCCCTCCATCTCTTGTAGAGCCAGTCATCTGTATTGACCCACTCTTCCTCAATATTAGTCTGATGATATTTAACCTAACTGTGCAAAGTGGAAAAAAAAATCGGACCAGTGTATTTCACAACCTCAATTGTTTCTGGGTTAAAATGGTATGATGCACACTCCCAAGCCACACATTACCACAAAAAATGCATTTGTGTTAAGTAATCACTTTGCAGATTATTAAACTGGGATACAAATATAAATTTTCAAACTGACGTGTGTAACAATACGGGGTGCAAAGTGAAACGGTTGTTCATGGTGACTGTGGTGTGGCTGAGGCCAAAGAATCTTTTGAGTTTTTGGAAAAATTATTTCCTAAAAGTGATCTGGTAGATTTTGATATTCATTACTGGTCAATGTGTTTCCATTTTTTAAGTTTGTTTCAAATGTCCCTGCGGGAATATGAAACGATTGACTTAACTGCGTTTAAGTGTGTCATGTTGCCGGAGGGTTATGGGTCAGATGGGTTTTTTAGACAGTGATGAAAAACTGAGTTTGAGTTTTTTATGGTTTGCAATTTACTGTATGTGATGTCATTGTCTTGTTTTGGTTTCATTATCTTTGTTATAGTTTTCAAGACTTTGCCATTTCCACTGTAAGCTAAGCAACTGAGAACACAAGCATAGAGCAAGCTTGTTATATATGCGTGTCTGTTATATCCCCACGACCCTGCCATGCGACAAGGGGAGTTGATGAGAAGGTGCGTGTCCAAACAAATGTCTTAACACAAATGGTTTAAATGGTGGCACGAATGGCCTGGATTGACAATGCTCTTATACGTGTTTGTTTTATGAATGAGATTTTGCATCATTTGACAATAAAAAAAAATGGAATATTAATATTTACAGCTGTATAAACATTGCATCTGAAACGTAAAACTGTTCCGTGTAGAGTGACCAAACTTGGAACGATATTTTTAACGAGTTAAACTTTCCAAGGCTTGCGCTGTATGCTTATCGAGTTTATCCTCTTTCTAGTGTGCAGGTTGCTACTGTATATTGTTGCGGCGGTAATTGTCGTGAACTGCATTAGCATACGAGTGAAACGCTTGGCCCCCGCTTACTCTGTAGTCGAGAAGCGGCTTGATGCAGTGGCGCGCACGGCCACGTGCTCACTACCGTACTCTAGCCGAGGGTGCTCCGAACTGCATGGGGTCTCCATCGACAATAAATGAAGGTTTGAAGACTCCTTGGTGATTGTCTCCGTTTGCTACTCACCCCCGCGTCGGTGTGAAGGACTGAAAGGGAGTGTTTGTGCCGGTTCCCTGCGCATAGTAGCCTCTGCTCCAGGTCCGTTCACGAGTGTGTGTTTGTATGGACTGCAACAATGGGTGCTCGGATTCCACGATCATCAAGAACCAGGTTCTGCTGATCCAGAAATACCCCAGGAATGAGCGTCGGTGTCTTGAGTCGTTACGAGTCATGAAGCACCATGAGCTTCACCCCTCCCATTCCATTCTCCCAGCCCATAGGCAACAGGTAAATGTTTTATTTACCTAGAGGGTGCAAGGATTCCACAAGCAGAGCACGTCGACTCACGCGATCACTGGCAGTAGTCTACCACGTGCTCTGCTCATGGTGACCTTGCGCTTTCTCGCCGGGTCCGGCTCAGGTTTTTTTGTAGAGGCTGCGTTTGAAAGGAAGACGGTGAAAAGATTCGAGGGGCCAATCCCCTTTGTTGAATCAAGCCACACGCCGCCTTTGCTGCTGCTCGCTGCCCCTCTTTACCCTCAACCAGGGGTTAGGGGTCGATCAGTGATGCAAAAGGCATCTCGCGCAGACACGCTTTGGTGATGGGCAACCGTGTTAATTACATGCTTGTAACTTGTGCGCAAATTAGGTTTTTTTATAATAATAATAATAATAGGGTTTTCCCCTTTTTTCTGGCAACAAAACTGAAACCTTTTTACAAGGATTCATGTCTGCATTAACAACAATACCTGCAGTGAAAATGCAAACAAAAAAAATACTTTCATAATATATGCATTGTCCTATTATTACATTTTGGTACTGACAAAGGAGGTCTAATGATGTAGGTTTTTTTATTTCTTGCAAGCCACATGTTTACGCTTTGCCTGACTCCACCCTAACTTTGCTGGACACGTGAATAAAAATGACGTGTGCATCAACATTTACTATTTAACATATGTGGTAACAAATAAAGTACATGGTTTATTGTTCTGTGATGTTTTTCCTAGATGTACATGCTTTGCTGTTGTAGTACAACATGTGACAATTTATGCAACGCAGTACTCAATTTCAAATTTATTTTTGCTTCCGAGAAGAGTATTAAGGAATTCATTTTTTTATATTTTAATACCAATTAACACCTGTATTTTATCACCAGGTTATGTAACCAATTTGTTTTTAATGACTGTACAACTTAATGAATTAAATGTAGCGACTTGATGACCATAACATATTAATAGTATGTCCTTGCTATGTGGCAAACTGACATCTGTACAACTTTAGATGATGACAAACAGTTGGTACTAAAATTATGGAACGGTTTAAGCAGAACAGTTGCTTGGAGAACCGAGTTTTATGTGCTCGTATTTTCCCTTTCACACTTCGGCCTATGTGTATTCGACCACACTGACACATACGTGTGAATGTCATATTTAAACTAGAGCAGTCTTTGGGGGAGAAAACATTGTTCATTTGATGGATAAATATCTTAAGTACATTTACATATGGGTGATTCAATGTATTCTACTTAAGTGTGATCATGTCCGTGGGTGAATGAGAGTGGTGAACGTCAGTTGGTGGCTCTGCGAGTTCTTGACTGTTAACGGTGGAGGAGCGGCGTGGCGTTGAGCGCCCAAGTTAGGGCGAAATGGGGTAAGCCGACGCCACGTATTTCTTGCCGTTGTCGTAGCTGGAATTGGTCCAGGTGTAAGTCTGGATGCCAATGATGTTGCCGTCCAGCTTGATTTTACACCTGGTGACAGAAGGTTCAAATCGGTTACGCTGAATGTAGGCTGCTTCTGCGTAGGTTTTCACGGTTCTGCTTGACAACCCTCCAGAGTGATTTTGGGCTGCACTGCGAGTTGTTGGCCAATAAAGTCCGACGTTTCAACTCAACATGCTGGGAACCACTCCAGAAACCTAAATGTCGGAGATCACGCTGAACAACACGCGGCACGACCCGAAAACACATCGGAGAATGCAGGTTAATCGGTTTGACTAATTGGCAACCGGACATGATAATAAGCGATGTTTGGGTCGGTGACAGCGAGCACTCACGCTCCGTCGGGCTTGGAGATGAAGCACAGCGAGTAAATTGCCAGATCGAACTCAGGGCTGCTGCCAATGAAAGCCGAGCCGACTTCCTTGAAGTAGCCGTCCCAGTTGAACTGCATGGCCAGCACGTCGGGGTAGCTGGTCCACTGTGAAGAGAGCGAGCACGGCTACGCGCACAGGTCCTGTCCTCGTCCGCCGTTGGAGGTATTTATAGAATTATTTCTCTCACCTGAAGACGGTCGCTTGTTGCGATCGAAACGTCGTAATCTATTATTTTTTCTACCTACGTGACTTTACCCAAAGAACCAAAGAGTGTAGAATTATTGTTAAAAGAGCCCGCTTAGCTTTAATTCCTCCTTTACATTGGTCATCGCATTACATCTTGTTGCATTATGTTAGAAAGCCCACGAGGGTTATAGTATTAAGAAGGCAGAGCCTTTTAGCCCGTGGTGTATTTATACATTTAGCAGTTTAAATGTAATGTGATCTCTTGATTCCTCAACTGGAAGTAAATAGTTCAAATATGTACAAAACAAATGCAGAAATATGTAATGTGCATGAATTGAAAATAATTGATTTTAAGTATGGTTTTCTGGATGTATCTTGATTTATAAAAAAAAACTTTTAATCGATGAACCAGTGCATGTGGCAGTGTGCGTGCGTGCGTTACCGGCCCATCCCAGTTGTGGCTAAAGTAGTTGAGTTTCCCTTCTTTCTCCAGGAAGTAAAACGAAACCCAGTTGTGGAATCCAGACACCTTGCCTCCCTTAATCTCCCCTGTGGGCACAAGACGCAGCACCAGGTTTAGAGCAGCAGGGAGGACTGCGTCACCAGGTTTAGGACTGCGTCACCAGGTTTAGGACTGCGTCACCAGGTTTAGGACTGCGTCACCAGGTTTAGGACTGCGTCACCAGGTTTAGGACTGCGTCACCAGGTTTAGAGCAGCAGGGACGACTGCGTCACGCTGATGGCAGCTGAGCCATCGCGCTCGCACGGTTGTCGGGGTTGGTGAAGGTCGCGTTCGTTGGCCTCGAGTAAAGTGGAATTTGCACGTGGATCGATTGCTTCCCTCGTTTCTCGCCCAAAGATAGATAACCACAGGTGGTGGCAGCAGCTGTTTTTTCAATTTCGTGATGCTGTGAATAAAAGGAGACATCGGGCAGACGCCGCTTTGAGCAAACATTGCTTACCTCTCGGTGTTTTTGTTACAGAGGAACGTTGTTTAAAACACGTTAATGATAAGGGCCTATTGACTGTTGTGATGCCCCGTGAGGACTATGATAATAAAATCAAAGAATTACTCGATGAAGGTACCTACCTTAAAATTAAACGAGACCCAACCAGCAACTGGGATCATTAAACGGCAATCATTGCCAAGTCATCAATTCCCAAGGAAGAGCAATACCTGATCAAACCAAGGGCATCAAAACCACCAAGACTTTGGGGGCTACCAAAAATTCACAAGCCTGATGTCCCATTCAGACCCATAGTACAATAGGCTCTGCCGCGTACAAATGAGTACAATACTTAATGAAACAAATACAGTCCTACATTGATAGGACCTCTTCGTTCATCAAAAAATCTTAACATCTCTTAAATATAATTAAATATATTAAGCTTAACCCTAATGATAATCTCGAAAATGTTGATGTGACCTCTCTGATCACGAGGGTTCTGGTCAACGAATCAATTAAATTACTCGACACTGGTAACGAACAAAGGTTTAGCCAAAGCTATCCAAAGACGAGCTGAACACTGTCTAAAGAACGCTTACTTCTTGTGGCAAGGTGACTTCTATAAACAAAAGTAAGGAGCAGCAATGGGCTCTCCTTTGTCTCCTGTGATAGCGAATTTGTGCATGGAAGATTTTGAAATAAAAGCAATAGCTTCAAGCACACTAAAACCATCTGCTTGGTTTAGATATGTGGATGACACATTGGTGGTCTGGCCACACGGCAAAGATACACTGAACGCATTCTAAATAATCTCAACTCGCAAAACCCATACATCTAGTTCACCACGGAAGTGGAAGCTGACAGAAGTCTACCATTTCTGGATATTCTGCTCGGACCGGGTAGAAATGCTAAAATAACACTGTTTACCGAAAGAAAACGCAACTGATGCCTATCTGAATGCAGTCACACCATCACCCCGCACAGAAATCTGCTCTTATCAAGACGCTCTTTGATCGAGCTAAGAAAGTGTCAGATGGTGAAAGTATGAGAAGTGAAATTCAACATGCTAAAAAGGCGCTGCAAATGAACGGTTACAATGAAGCACAAATCAACAGGGTATAGAATACCAAAACCAAATCAAATAACAAGAGCATTGAAACTGCTCAAGTAATTAAAACTATCAAAATACCGTACATTGCGAGAGTAACTGATAAACTAGCCAGATGTTTGGAAAAACAAAATATCCGAGTCAGATTTGGTATGGTACATAAAATACAGAAATGTATATCTGGTCCAAAAGATGTATTACCGAAGCTATCAACTGAAGGTGTGTACAGGATTAACTGCACGTGTGATAAATGTTATGTTGGGCAAACAGGACGAATGATCAGCACGAGCCTAAATGAACAGAGAAATATTAAATTCTCCCAAATACAACCGTCAGCAGAAGCAGAACACGCGTGCCAACAAGGACACTCAATTGATTTTGATAATGTTGAATTTCTGTGCAAAACTAGCTCCTTTTGGCCAAGCCTAATTCGATAATCTATCGAAATTGAAAAAAATCAAAATAACTTTAATCGTTCGGATAGCTACCGCCTTAGTGCTGCATGGAAGCGAATCATCAAATAATACATTATTTAAATGCATGCCTACAAAGGGCAGCGTACTTAAATAGGGATTACCGTTGTAGGGCTATTTTAATACACAATAGATAGGAAGGACAAGTTCAAAGGGCTCGCATAATGTACGTTGCCTCAGTAATCCCCCC